CCAGGTTATTCCATATGGAATCATGGAACAATGTTGGCTGAGGACACTGCCAGTTTCTTATTCCATGGACATCATGGATTCCATATGGACTCCAACACCACTCCCTATGGATTCCATTGGATTCCATGGAGCAGTCCATATGGATTCGATGGAAGGATATTATACCATTAGAATACATATAAATATAGTATAGTATTGATAGTGTCCTTACTATATTTAAGTAGTAAAAAAAAATGGCATGCAAGGGAATTGAACTCTCGACATCATCAATATAAGCAGCGCTAAAGCCACCTGAGCCATGAAGGCTTTACAATATGGTAAATGAAAGGTAGGTATATACCGCCTTGAGGCATGTGGCGTCTTAAGTGTGACAGCTGCAGTGTTGCCACGTCGTTCTTTCCTTCCCACCACCACCACCATGTCTCAAACCACGACCACCCACCATGTCAATGACGATGACACTAACAATGCACGATGACATGCACCACCATCATCAACAATGCACAACAACCACACCACTATAAAACCACCACAAGCACCACAACACCAGACAATGATGTGGCAACGCCATGTCACATGAACGGCACAAGATGGGTGGGAATGACGATGAGCGGGACATCCATTGACGTTCTGCCTTGTCCAGGTAAGCAAACACATCAATGCCTCCCACTCCCTCTTTTGATGACAAAACAGGTGCCACAGTGCAGTCAGAATAAACCGGGGAGGGTAAAGTACTGTCAGATGCTTGTATATATGATGTACTTTATGAAGAGAGCTGTAACCAGAACTGTGGAAGTGGAGCTCCACCTTGTGCCAAAGTATCAGGCTTCAGAGGTGACAATAATACTTCAATTTTGGTAGTACAAATGGCAGAAATGTACAGAGAAGGTACAGTGGCACACAAGCAACTTATGTGTTCCATGATGAAACTCAAAATTCAATGGTACATATATGCATGTTTTACAATCAAGCTCATCTAGTACTGCTCAACTTGGTGTGTTTGATGATACTACCATCTGGCTATGAAACAAAAAGACAAGAGTTCAATTAAAACATAAGTCACCAGATGAGATGGAGAGGGTGGTAATAGGATTTCCTCCAGGATGCCCTCACAGATGTTTGGGGCTGTAAGTCTGTTTGACAAACAAAAAACAAAAAACTGATCCAAGATGTTCT